GATGATGAAGCTCTTCATCCTTTCTGAGCACGGCCTCAGATTGGAGGAGAGCTTTCAGGGCATTGGTTCTGAAGGACCGGACTTCGGCCGCAGATGTGCTGGTGATCCATCGAATGTTATCCTCAGCAAGCGTTTCACAACCTGACAGCTTGTCACACGGGTGTTCAGCATGCAGGGCTTGCTCAAGAAACTCGGACACTTTCCAGGGAACCGCATAAGCGACATGCACATGTGGGTTCTGCTGCAACTCACTTGTATTCAGTAGGTCCTCGGATCGACACGACGCGTGGCCTACCCCCTTAAGAAGCAGTGTCGTGTCCTGGTTCAAGCGACCACCAGTCAACCGCACAGCTCCAGCAGGCACCCCAGGAAGGGACGGGCAGCCGCCCGCAGGCACTTCATCGGGGAGGGGAACATCGGGAGAAACTCGCAGCCTCACGACCTGCTTGTACTCGGGCACAACAGCAGGCACAGCATGAAGTTTGGTGGACCCTTGCAACGCCGCAGAGGCAGGTCGGAGTGGCGAGGGCAGCATGGACGAAGACAACAGCGGCAAACAGGCTTGTACGACATGGTCGCAGAAGGTGGCCGGCAGGTGACGTTGCTGATGAGAGTCAGGAGCCTTGGCAGACCAAGGAGCATGCACATGAGACCCATCGCAGTGCCTGGCCAAATCGCAGAGAGCAGGCACATTGTGCAAGAGGCGCGTAGCGCGCCTACGGTCACACCCGTATTGACACAAGTCGACGTCAGTCAAGAAATGCTTCAAGCTGACAGTCTGAGCAAACACAGGTTTCCAGAAGACCGAGGCACGAGGTAGGCACAAGCAGAAAGGAGTGCACGTTTCGGCAAGAGTCGCGAGTAAAAGCACGAGAAAATTCAAGACCGCTTGATTCAAGGGGGCGGAGGGGGACTGCGAGCCACCAGGAGGTACCACGAAGAGGAAGGACACGGCACCCTCCCGGAGTCGTTGCAAACAAAACTCGACGTCAGGGAACTGTTGTACGTCCCACTTCAAGCAGGGCACCTTCCAAGCCTTCACAGGGGCATGATGTAAAGCTAAGGTCCTGACATCGACATTACGCAGCAGCTCGGACAGGCGGGGCGGCGCTGAGAAGATCTCGAGACACATCTGCTGGGCAGGAGAGGCGCGAGGCGGAGGAGTAGCACACACGGGAGGTGGCCTAAAACCTAGCAAGCAGAGCTCATGACGTTGGTCATCTTTCAGCTGCTGCGCGGGGTCTATGCAGAAGGCCACCAACACGACCCGCCGACCTCGCCAAGGCAAGGTAAAGTGTTCATCACGTCGCGCATGCAACAAGCAAGGTTGCACTCTTGGATCTAATATGACGCCTCTCACAGTTGTACCTGCATCGAACGCCACCTCGGGGCCTTCAGGCTGGACGACGAAGATATTGCCACCTTCAAACTCGCTCAAGGCTACTACTAAGTTGGGATCAAAATTGTCGAACGTCGCGGTGGCGGGGAGCCCGCACATCACCAAAAATGACGATAGAAGTCCACACGTGGTTAGAGCGGATACTCCTCACGAAAACATTCAGGAGCTGGACAGAAGCTGGGAACAAGTGATTGTTGCGGCGTAAACCAAATCTTACATCACGAACCCAACAACCACAGCCGAAAGCTAAAGGGTCGGTACTGCCACGCGAGGATTCTTCTCGAGGCAGAAGATCAAACAGCTGCAGCACATCTCGGCGATCCGGCAACCTCTCCCGAAGCAGCTGACGAGAGAAGAGTTCGGCAGGGTGATCACACAGAGTGACCCCCGGAAAATCGAGGCCACCAAAGCCGGCCACACTCGGCGCCTCACCTACGGGACCTAGTCAAGCGCGGCGAATGAAGGGATGCTTCTGGAAGCAGTTGGGTTTGCAGCACAGGTGCTTGCCCCGAGGGCACGAGTCAGCATCGCCATGGGGGCACTTGCCAAGATTGTAGTTCCAGCACAATGCGGCCCCTTCGGCATCGACCGGAACCCCACCCTTCAATGCGGCAGGCATGTAAGGTGTTCGCTTTTTCGGCCGCACATCGGTCCTGGCAGCGACAGGCTTCGGGGGTGGGGGTACGGAGGAGTCCGTAGGGGTCTTACGTTTCTTAGGGTTCGACTTAGGCTTAGGGGCGTCCCGGGAAGTAGTGCCGGCAGCGCCTCGGGCACGAGGCAGGAGCAACTGTTCAACGCATCGCATTTGCAGAACGATCGGCAAATGTCTATCCAATGGCAAACTCCCATCGGAACCCAGCGTGAACCCGGAACGACACTGGTCACTCAAGCGGAGATGCACCTCCCGGTCACAGAGCGCTAGCTGCGCGAGAGTGACCCTCTGATAGCCTTCGGTGGGCTCCTTGTAATATGCATCGAACAAGAACTGAATGAGAGACTCATGTACTTCGAAGCTCATCAGTTCGGCCACTCCGCCGCAAAGCATGATGCACCAACAGGTCCGTAGCAACATTCGCCTCAAGACGTGGTGTATCCTTGTGCTCTCGGACAATGCCTGCCTTGTCTGGTCTCCAAGCTTTTAGAAGCTGATCTTCAGTGGCACCCAGCACCTCTTGGTCTCGGGTGGTGAGCCGGGCCCACTCCACGTAGCGAAGACGTCCCTCATCAAGCATGGCTGCAAACAAGTTGATGCTGGCATGACTGGGCTCCAAGATTCCCTGAAGCTTGAGGGGCGAAATTTTTGGAGCAAGGACTTGCAGGCGCGCACCAATCTCGGCGACAGGCAATTTCCTCGGCCCCGCTTCGTCAGTCCCGTCCACTTTCCGCTTAAGGTCTGCAGCGGTAAGTGTCCAGGCTTCCCAGTGCAATCGGCGAAGTGCTGCCTCATGAGCAGCAAAGGAATCGCCTAAGATGGCATCAAGGACGATCTTGACGGCGGCTTCCGCTCCTGCAGTACCCGGGGTGGCAGTTGGAGCATGAGCAAAGTTAGCAAATGTGCTCCAGCCACGCAAGTCGAGTCGATCAACGACCTCAGTAGGCAGTCCAACAGCCAGGCACCTTTGCCGAAAGATCGCTTTCGAATCGACATAAGACATGACAGGCTACCACTAGGAAGGACCTGGAGCCGTTCAAAACTCGAGAGCGGGACTTGGTTGGAGCTAGCGGAAAACTCGCAAGCATGCAGCGTGCAGGGGTGTCTTTGATTGCTGCGTCCGCACCTTTCATTATCAAAACCAGAGGCACACCGGCATGGTGGTTTGGTGTGCATGCACCACCACTTGTGAAGGTGCACCAGGACGGTATATCCAAGGCCCCAGTCTTAAATTGGCCCAAAATCAGCGGATCGAAAGGTTTCCCTCAGTATGACTACCAAGAGAACACCTCTACTACACTACGGCAAAGCTCTCGTCACCGGAAACATGAAAGGCAAGGATTCAAAATCACGTTGGGCCGCGCACCGAGCTCCACATGCGCTGCCGTGGCTAAGCGACCGCACACAAAAACAGTCGCATCATCGTCATGTGGCCTCTGGGCTCGATGCACGGTTTGCCTCGAGCCGTGTTTATAGTATACAAAACCATCACTTGCATTAGATGCAATCGTCTCGCCCAGGGCATGCATGTCTGCTAAGTGGC